CCTATTTCCCACCTCTCTTTATAGGGAAGGCATCTGAGGATGAGACTTCATATTGGATGGTGTAGCACTTGTTTTTGTGAAAGGACACAATCATATTGTGGAGCTAAGGTGGGCATCCTATCTTACTGAACAGTGTGAAGAGTCTTTTTTTAACTGATGAGGTCAAAAGCCTTGCCAGGTTTAAGAAGATGATGAACAACAGGCACCTCTGCTATCAGCATTTCTTCTGTAGGTGCAGGGACAAAATCATGTTGACTGTTGACCTCTGAGCTCTAAAACTATATTGACAGGATAGACCCTGTCAGTGAGTGACCGTAATCTGTTGAGAACTACATGAGCAAAGGCTTTCCCCACAGTATGCAGCAGGGAGATTCCACAGTAGTTGTTACAGTCATGGCTGTCACTTGTGGCCCCTTCCAACTCTTGTGGAGATGCGTCATGAGGGAGTAATTGAGGCTGGCTTTCAACACTTCAGTTAGGATTCCATCCTCTCCTGGGGCTTTACCACATGCCTCAGAGTTGATGGCGTTCTTCAGCTCATCAAGGGAGGGAGGGACTTCCAGCTCTTCCAAGAGAGGCAGAGTCTGGATGCTGTCAACCGCTGTGTCAACGACCATGTTTTCCCATCAGTACAGTTCTTGATAGTGCTCTGTCCATCACTTCATCTGCTTGCTGTGGTCTGTGGTGATCTTTCCAGACCAGATTTTCAGAGGGGGTGTTTTTCTGATTGGTCCAAAAGCTTTCTTCATGCCTGTACAGTGGTACCTCAGGTTACAGATGCTTCAGGTTACAGACTCTTCAGGTTACAGACTCTGCCTACCCAGAAATAGTACCTCGGGTTAAGAACTTTGCTTCAGGATGAGAACAGAAATTGCATGGCGGAGGCGCAGCGGCAGTGGGAGGCCCCATTAGCTAAAGTGGTGCTTCAGGTTAAGAACAGTTTCAGGTTAAGAACGGACCTCCAGAATGAATTAAGTTCTTAATCCCAGGTACCACTGTATACATTTTGTGAGCAATGCAGGTGTGAGCAGTGAGTTGGATGCTCTGACACAGCTTTAGCAGGGCGCCAGCTCCTGGGAGCCGAGCCCTTTTGGGTCCTCTCAATATTTTTGGGGTTGGGGCCTGCTCTCTCCCAATGTCCCAAAAACTTGGAGGTGAAGAGCTCCAGCGGCCACTTCCTTCTCCTGACAGTGCCAGGAGAAGGCAGAGGAGGAGCCGCTGGTCATTGAAGCTGCGCAGCCACCATGTTTGGCTCCACCCCCGGCTCCTTCTGATGTCCTGCCATCACACATGCAATGTCCCCCCCCCATCGCCCTTGTAAGCCAGCACCTCTGGCCAGTAGTCATTGACACATTGCCTGGCAATCTGCTGGGCACTAAATCCTTTACTTTCTCAGTGCAGCAAGTGTCTTTTCACAGGGTGTTTGCTTGTAGTTCACAAGAGTCTCATGCTTTGCAATGATAACAGGCTCCATGTCCTTCATGTCGGCCTCCAACCAGTCAAGGATCTGTTGTTCTCTTTTGCCAAAGAAGGACATAGCTGTGTTGAAGGCTGGCTCTTTGATGTGGTTCCCCCTTGTTTTGACAATATCTCTGGGGCAGTTCAGTAGAGCTTGTTCAATGGAATCAGAGAAGTACTCACAAATTTCAGGTATGACTGTTCTGGCAGTGTTGATTTGAGGCCGCACTTTCTGCTTTGTGCTATGGGCCCCCTATGGCTGGATAAGGATTTTGTTCATCACCAGAGTGTGATCTGTGTAGCAATCAACACTGTGGTAGCTCCATACAACATGAACAAGTTCAGTGCCAATTCCCTGGTTACAATCAAGTCTAGCTGATGCCAGTGACCCTGGATGTCTCCAGGACATAGTGTTTTGTCTTGGTAGAGAAGATAATGTTCGTGCAGCAGAGGCTGTGATACAAGCACTGCTCAAGCAGCCTTTGTTCTTGTTCATGCTGCCAATACCAAAGTGACCAACGCAGTTGCACCATATTTGATGATCGCCCCCAACTCTGGCATTGAAACCTCCCAGCAGGAAGCCTGGGACCCTCCTGACAGCCTGGTCTAGTTCCTTGTAGGACTGGTCCTTGTTAACCAGATTGGAGGTGGTTGAGAGGCAAAGGGAAAGCAAGCATTGTCAGTTAGCAGTTCTATCAAATACAGCAGGAAGTTCCTCACTGAGAAGCCATGGATACATAGGTCTTCTGGATGCCCTCCTTGCCAGAAGAGGATGTGGTCCTTTCTCCAAGGCAGCCATTCAAAGTGAGTCTGGTCTCCTGTAAAGTGACAATGTCAATGTTGAGCGCTTTCAGCTCATGGTCAATGATGGCCATCTTCCATGAGTTGCTGACCTGCAGCATGGACAAGCTAGGGCACATGGTCCTGACACTCTAGCTTTCTAGGCACAAGAGGGTTTGTTTCTTTTATTCTTTTACCTGGTGCAGTGGTTTGGTCCACTTGTCAAGTGATATTGTAAGCTCTAAGCATTCATTGTAGCAGGTGGACGGTGGCGGATCAGCACCTTATTGACTGGGGGCTGCCTGGCTTAAGATGGACGATAGCTGACCAGTGAGACATGATGATCTCTTCCACCAACGAAGGCAACCCATAGTGCTCATACCTTATGCCATTCAGGTTGAGATTATAACTCATAATTGCTGCCTCCCCCACCAGGGGTACTGCCCCTCCCCTAACACCCCATACACCCCCAAAAGTGGATCAGATAAATATTAGTAGCAGCAGCAGTAATACTAGTATTAATCTATCAATTAGATTTTGTAACTACACGGCAGGTTAAAATAATCTAAAGATAGAATATCAAAAACAGAGTACAATCTAGAATGTTGGGTAGGTCCCCAAATACATCTCTTAGGTGTCATAGGCTTTTGAGATGGCAATGTCTATCACTTTCCTCCTTTCAAAATGGGGCAAGCCAACCCTGCTGCATTCTGTTCTCTTTATGCTGAGCAGAGCCACGGATGGTGTTTGAGTCCTAAAGTCATGCCCTGAGTGTACCAATGCAGACAGGCTCATTTTCTCCATGTCAGGAGTGGTTGCTTTTCTTTAAACTGTGGGGAGCTTTCTAGGTCATATGTAATTCAGCCACAACCTGGGGTGTATGGGGGCAGGGGGAACACATCATGCTCCATCTAGGGTAGTTTGTCCACCTTTGGACCCCACCCTGCACTCAGCTCTCACCTGTGGCTCCTAGAAGCTATTGGCATGTGACAGCAGCCACACCCTGGGAAATGAATTCAACTGGCCAGCTAAGCCAGGTGGGGAGAGCTGATGGGTCTCAAAATCTGAGCTAGGGACCTGTTTACCCCCTGCCTGCAAAGACAGGGTCCAGTGGATTGAGGAGCTGAGACTGATACTGTGTCTAATGATCAAGAAGATGGTTTCTGCATGTGCTGGAGAGGGAAGTGAGGGGCAGAAGGAGCTCCTCAATCTGGGAAGGTTGGAGGTTTAACCTAGAAGGAAAATTCTGGCCTTAAACCTCTGCTGCCTTGTGGCACTGCATTGTGGGACATCCTTGGGAGAGGAAAAGGCAAAGGAGTAAACCCTACACAAATCTGGAGCAGAGTCCCTAAAGTGGATGGCTGGCACCTTGTATGCCACCTTTGGGCAACTCCTGCAGCCAAGTTGGTGCCAAACGTATTGCTTGTCATCTGACCAGCCCAGGACCTCCATGCGCACTGTCCAGGCTTACACCCCAGAGAGGTCACTTTGATGTTGAAAACGCAGCAACGTAATGCAGTTACAGCCACAGCGGACACTGTAACCTTCCAGCAGTTTGACTTCACCCCCAAAGGTGCACTCCTCCATTGCCTCATGGGACGGACAGATGCCAAACCAACCCTAATTCAGAACCATGAGGATTAGAACCTTACTTCATTTTTAAGGCTTATCACTTGATGGTGGAGCCTGTGGACAACACAGGAAAGGTCCCAGGTCGAATTCCTGATGACATCTCCTGGTGGGGCTGAGGGAAGAGACAGTGGTGGAGCATTCCCCTCAGCGCCTGGGGCAGGTGCACATGTGCCAAGGCATGTGCAGCACACCATGGACACTGGGCATGCCGCTGGAGTGACCCTGGTTCTCTGGCTGGCTGGCTTTGAGGGGCACATTCATAGCACCCTGCAAACCCAGAGTTGATTTGTGAGACTTGCAGGGATGGCATTGGGCTTGCAGGGAGCTGGGGTGTCCATCTCGGGCACCCTCCAGCTGGAGGGCAGCTGGGAGGGAAATGGCGGTTCAGAAACCCTGCGAGCCCAGCCCCAAGCTGCAGCCTTTTCAGGTACCCTCTCAGCTGGAGGGTGGCTGAGAAGGAAGATGCCCTCCCTGTGACCCTCAAAAAAACAACAACTGTGCCCCGGGCAGCCCCCAGCCCCCCCCACTACACCTTTGGGAAAGACTCTCACCTTGAACCCTGGAGAGCCATTGTTACTAGTCAGTGAAGACAGTACTGAGGTGGTTGATCAACGATTTGACTCTGTAGAAGGCAGCTTCCACTGTTTCTATCTATGGCAGCCCTTCATCCAGAACGATGAGGACTAGAATCTTAGGATAAGGGCCATATAGCTCTCAGTTGGTGGGCTTAAGCTTTGCATGCAGGATGAGGCAGCATCCTATGTCCCTAGCAGGGGTGACAACTTGAATAAAATATTGAGGTGGGTGTGTGGCAGGTAAGCCCCGCCACGCATAATCGATCGCAGGACATGACAGGCAACACACCATTTGACTCGCAATGCCCACCAACTTTGGGGTCCCCTAAGCCCCCTCAAGTATGTTATGTGGGGGACGAAGGGAGCCTGGCTGTAGGAGTTGGTTCCTAAGGTCCCTAGGAAATCTCCCCCTCCGAAACTCTCCCTCCTTAAAATCCCAGCTGCGCGCGTCCTGAGACCCGGACAATGCCCCGTCGCTGCTAGACCTGTCGGCCGTCAGGTTACCCCTTGGCGGGGTCCCTTTTGCAATTTCAGCTGCGGGCGGTGGAAGGGGAGAAGCAGCAAAGCGAGTGAGCGAGTGAGTGAGAGAGACAGAAACAGAGCGGGGCACGCGCGGGCGCGCACACACACCCGAGTACTTTAGTTATATTGTTGGGTGAGTTTGCAACAACTCCCTCCGTCTCGGCTTCGCGCGGACCCCGTGGGAGCGGAATTTTGACTCGCCTCTCGCTGGGACTTTCTTGGCGGCGTTTTCCTATCCAGACCTAGAGACAGTCACATTCATCTTTTTTATTTTTCTTCCAAGTGTGGGGTGGAGTAGAGGAGGAGCAGGAAAGAGAGGGGCGAAAGGGGGGAGACCCCCCCAATCAACAAACCAATCTCCAAACAGCCAACCTTTGCACAAGTAATTCTTGCGGAGAGGGGGCAAAAAAAATCACTTAAATCTGCCTCCTAAAAAAACACCCCAAAACCCTTCTTCCGGCTTTGATTTTTTTTTTTTTTGGTCCTGTGAGGTTTCTTCTTTCTTTGCTCCTCTTCCTTTTTTAATTAAAAAGAAAAAAGAAATTCCTCCACCGATCGCTCTCCCACAAATCGCGTTTGGCATGAGTTAAACCAGAAACGATGGACACCAAGCATTTTCTTCCATTGGGTGAGTTTTATTGGCTGATTTTCCTCGGCTTCTATTTTTTTTTTTTAAAAAAAAAGGAAAGCGGGGCGGCGTGGTGGTGGTGGGGAACTGGAGAGGGGCCGCTTTGGGAAAAAATGCTAAGCTATATTGTAATATCTCTATGTTGCCAGTGTTACACACACACACACAGAGACACAATATTGAGTGTCGTGGAAAGGGATCTGGGAAATGGGGTGTGTTGTGGGGGAGGTAAAATGTCTTTATTACGCAGCCGATCTTTTGATCACAGAGAAGGTCCGAGCTCTCCGCTCGCTCTCTAGGGGGGGGAGGGGAAAGGGGGTGGCCAGGAGCGAAAACCCCTTTGATAACATTTCAAAGAAGCGGCCTTGTCAATTTCACCAAGGCTCCCTCGTCGTTTTCACTCTCCCGGTGCAAATCATGGGCAAATCAGGGCAGGCCACGGCGATCTGTTGTGTTGCATTTGATTTTTCTTTTAAAGGCTTTTTTAAAAAAGTGATCTCTGCAAATTTGCATGGAGCGCCTTGGGACAGTCCAAGGAAGAGCCCATGCACCCCCCCCCAAAAAAAAACCCTACTCTTAATTGCTGGGGGGAGGGAATGGGTTTGTTGTTGTTGTTTGATGGGAAGACACCGTTTCTGGGATCGGGTCTGGCTGCGTTTCCTTTTTCGCCTTTGGAAGTTGGCAGTGGGTTGCGCGATTGAACGTGGGGCGGAGTGGAGGGGGAGGGAGAGAGATCCGAAAGAGGCTTTCAAAATCGAGAGGAAAAAGGCCTGATCTTGCAACTGTTGCAAAACTCCGGCGGTGATCCCACCACGGTGTGGGAAAGTTTCTCTTCAAAAGAAAAATAGCAGAAAAGTGATCCAGTTAACTTCCCAGTCCAGCTCTGCGTTTTGACTTTTGAGTTCTGAATAGAATAAGCAGCTCCTTGTGATTTTAGGGGGCGGGCATTTTAAGCAGGGAAAACTGTATTGGTTAACAGTTTCCACTTCTGGATTTTAGGGGGATTTGTAATTTTTTTTATCCCGCCCCCCCCCCCGGGGGGGGAGGCAAATCCTGAATCCTAGCATCTTTCTGGAACTGGAACTTTAAAGAACATACCTATTGCTCTTCCCTCACCCCCATGATATTCCTCCCCTCCTTTAATTTTTATTTCTCTTTAAATCTATTTCCAATGCATCTTCTCCTCCCAAAAATCTCCCCAAAAGCACAATGCATTTGGCAGGACTATTTACAAAGTCTGTAAGGGCTACAGCCAGCCTTGATCCAGGAGGCTGGTCTTGACAGAAATATTGGATGATGAGGGGATTCCCCGACACCACTCCCACCCCCAGTCTTACACCTCCTCCTTTTCCTCCTTTCCTTTTCTTTCAAATTAATTTACACCTGTGATTTTTCTTCTTCTTCCTTATTTATGACAAGAGTTTCAAGCGCTTTTCAGCCCTGTTCTGACTTGCTAGTCTTTGCCACTGTCTGGATTTCTCCCTCTCTTCTCCCCCCCCCTCTCTCCTGGTTGATGCTCACAGCTGAACATGATAAAAGTTCTGAGAAGCAGGTTCAGTGTGGCCTCTTTCTGTGGTTTGCCTCATGATGTGCTGCACTTGGAGATAGCTGGGGTGGGGGGCTGCATTTGCACCCTTCTCTTAATAATCTCTTAACCACCAGGGTTGGTGCCACTGGAAAGGGCAAATTGATGGCCACTAGCCACAGTGCTATGCTCTGACTGACAGCAACACTTCTGAATACCAGTTGCTGTAAACTGCAGGAGGGGAGAGGGCTCCTGCTTTGGGGCTTCCCATTCAGGTACCTGGTTGACCATGGTAATAACAGGATGCTGGACTAGATGGACCACTGACCTGAACCAGCAAGTTTGCCTTGTGTTTTTTAGTGTTGCCTTGGGTTTGATTCCTTCCATTCATGATAGTAAACTTTGTAGTGAACTAGTCCCAAAGTTTTGCATCCGTGACAAAGGTTGTCTTCATCGTATCCCCCCATGATCTCATCTTATTTTTATTCACTCTGCCCTGTTTCTTTGGATCTTTGCATCTTTAATCGATTTGCAATGTGCCCTAAGATGGTAAGATGAAAGAGTGAGAGATGATAATGCCTAATAAATAACGAATAAAATGTGTGAACTGTGCGGATAAAACCCTTCTTCTACAGCCTCCAAGGAATTTGCTTTCCTCTTGCATACAGAATGTCCCAGGTTCAGTTGCCAATTGCATCTCCAGGTAGGTTCTGAGAAGGTCCCCTGACTGTAAAGGCAGAGACCCATTTCTGCCACTCAGCACAGACAGCGTTGAGCTCAGTGGACCAATGGGCGAACTCAATATGAGACAGCTTATTTATTTAGAAGCATGAGGACTGGGCTATTAGTTTGGAGGAAGAGCATAACTCAGTGGCTGAGCACCTGCTTTGCATGCAGAATGTCCCAGGTTCAATCCTCACCTGTATTTCCAGGTAGGGCTGCAAATATCCCCTGCCGCTCTTAGTGCAGATTGTACTGAGCTAGAAAGTCCAGTAGTCTGATTCCGGATAAGGCAGCTCCCTACATTCCTGTTCAATTGAACCCTTTATCCAGAATGATGAGGACTAGAATAATTACTTTATTATTTTGGGAATTGTTGCTTTGCATGCAGAAGTGTCCTAGGTTCATTCTCTGACATCTCCAGGACAGGGTAGGCAGAGCCCCTCTGCTTGAACTCCTGGCGAGCTGCTACCAGTCAGCTACCAGGGGTCTGACTCAGTAGAAAGTGGCTATGCTCACTGACAGTAGGGTTCACACACACATACGAGCCCCCAAATAGTTCAGTTGGTTGGAGCTTGGTGTTGATCATGCGAAGGTTGCAGGTTTGATTCCTGTATGGGACAGCTGCATGTTCCTGCATTCCAGGGGGGTGGACTGGATGACCCTCAGGGTCCCTTCCCACTCTTCTATAATTCTGTGTTGAGATTTCTGCATTGCAGGGGGTTGAACTAGATGATCCTCAGGGTCTCTTCCAACTCTGAGATTCTTTGATTCTATGAAACAGCAAGCACAATATTCTCCTTTAGGTACCTGCAAATTTTTAGAATCTGATGCAGAAGGCTTGAGTCTATGAAAACTTACGTCATAATAAATGCATTGGTCTTGAAGGCAGGGAGTGAGGAACAAGAGTCCTGGGAGGCTGAAGTGGCCCTCCAGCATGCTCTACCTGGCCCTCAGGGCATCCCCCAAGCCACATTCTCTTCCTAGACCACACCCCTCTCTGGACCTGCTCCTTAACAACTGCTTTTGTCTGGCTGCGATGTGTCCTTGATCTGTGATGATGCCTTTTGCTTTGCCTGGACAGAGGATGGAGGAGGCGTGTGGGTGTTGAAACTAGTCTACTGCACAAAGATAAAATTCACATCTGCTCCTCTGCTCACCTTTTCCTCTAGCCTTGCCCACAACCAGCTCATGGCCTCTGGAAGGTTGCTTAGAAAGTTGTGGACACAAACTGAAAAGCCTTACCATCCAAAGGCAGAAGACTGTGGTCATTTCTCTGTCTGTATGGCCCCCTCAGACTGATTTCCCAACCACGCCCAATTACAGTGCTATCTTCTGGCTGTTTTTTTTTCTCCCAAGACTCCCAGCTCCCAAGTTTCTGGAAGGCAACTGAGTCATGTGTTGTGGGTATGATGGAATAATTCTCTCTTTTGTGCTGCTGCTGCGGTGTGTGTGTAGAAGAGGTGCCTCAAGATAACCCATGAAGAGCTCAAAAGGATGGCATCCGCTCTTCCTGGATTCTTGGTATTCCTCCACCCTGAAAGTGAGAGTGTGGTTAAGGCACACAGTGAAACCCCATCTAGACTTCATTTTTTTTGACTTGCTGTGAGTCAGGGTTTGCCTTCAGCCAAGCCATTGGGCATGGATGTGCCTCAGGTTTCTGGCTTTGCCTCCACAGTCTGCTTCTGAATACCAGTTGCTGGAAGCAGCAGGACAGGAGAGTGTTCTTGTGCTTAGGTTCTGCCTGAAGGCTTTGCATTGGAGCATCTGGTTGGCCAACCTCAGACCAGGATGCTGGACAATGATGAGCCCTCTTTAGCCTGATCCAGCAGCCAGTCTCTTAAAGAGACCGGCTGTGATAGCAGAACCATGCCCAAGGGTTTCCTGTCCAGCTACTGGAAAGGATATGTTGTTGCACTCAGGTCCAGATTGAGGGTTTCCCATTAGGGCATCCAGTTGGGTACTGTGAGAATAAGATGCTGGACTAGATGGACTTGATCCTGCAAGCTCTTCTTATCTTCTTATGACTAGATGGGCCAATGGTTTGATCCTGAAGTTGATCACCTCTGCTTTACCAAGTGGCCCGAAGGTTGTCTATGGAGGGATGTGGACCTTGGGCTTTGCAAAATGAGAGGACTGTCCTTGTCCTCCTGAAAGCTGGTTTTGAACTAGGATGACTGGTGTGCCGTCATGCTCGCAAACTGGACAAAGGTCTGGTTTCTGCACCATCACCACCCCGCTCTCCATTTCTGCATAGGCAATCTTGCAATTTCATAATGAAATGTTAAAATATTGTTTTCACAGGGGAGAATTGCCCTTGGGACTATTTTGTTCAAAACTCAGCAATTGCTAAGAAGAACTAGAAGAAAAAAAGGGGGGAAGATTAAATCCCCCTTTATATGTCAACAGCATAGGTTAAACATGTTTCTTCATGTTTGCTTTGCTCTTCAAAACCAGATAGTGCTGCCTAGCCCTGCAGTGCTGGGGCCTCCAGTATCTCAGAAGCCACCTTTTGTGCCTTTGCATGTGTGACTGCAAGTTAGCAGCCCCCTCTCCACGGACACACACCTCCAAGCATTCTGGAAGGAACCGGGTTATATTGCCCCCCTCCCCCTAAAATGTTTACTGTGAGAACATCTCTGGCCAAACGTGTGGTCCAGGCCTTTCATAGATAAAAGTTTTCCTCTCTTTGTTGTAGTGCAAGATCTCATGGACACCCAGCAAAGCTGGATGTTGGAATATCCAAGGAGGGATA